GTAATGGTTAAACTCATGAGGTCAAGAATCAGACTCCCTGAGTTCAAATCATAGCTTTTCCATTTACCATTGAGTGACCTTGAACCTCTCTGTGCTTTCGGTTTCTTATCTGTAGGTAAGGATGAGAAGAGGATCTACCCTGGATATAATAGTCACATGAGATAATAGCCCTGGGCATTTCCCAAAGTATCTACACATGGTGAGTGTTCAAGAAATTGAAAAGGTATTACTCATTAGATTTCCTGAGGCCTTGAGGCATTAAATGATACAGATATGGATAAAGATATGGATATCTATATGGATATAATTACAGATATAGATCATATAGTCAGGAGTCTTGGTGTCTTTCATCTCTTTTCTTCTTTCTTTCTCACCTCCATCCATCATGGAAGAGGGTCTCTAAGATGGTAAAGTACAAAAGTTCTACTCATTTTACTAAGAAAGAACTATGCTTAAGAGTTTGGGGGGTTACTGTTGAATGATACACTTGAGACTTATTTGATTTTATTAATCATTGTCACCCCAACAATTAAAAAAAAAAGAGCTAATAGACTGAAAGATAAATTATATAAAACAATAAGGAATTAAAAACTAAAAAAGAAAAAGTTGGAGGGAAGATAAGAGATAAGTTTGGAGATGTAGAAAGGAGGGAGGGTGGTTGAGAGAAAGAGAAGCTAAACATCTGTTCACGTGCATTTCACATAGACTGAAAAATAATTTGAAGAGAACAATAAGGAAAGACATTTCAAAAATCCCATGTGCGTGTATGTGCACTCCTCACAACCACTCATCAACATCCGTATGCACATCGATATATGCATTTACAAATACATACATAAAAGTGTGGCCTAGCATGCTAATATACAGGTTGTTTTGTGGATAAAATGAAATTATAATACATATTAGGAGCTTAGAAAAAATCTGGCACATAGAAACCATCCAAGTCATCATCAACAATAGTGTGTGAGTAAACAGAGGAGAGTTTGAATTCTCCTGACCTGAGTGGCATGGTGGGTGATGATATTCTGTTTGCTTCTCTATGTATTCTGATTTTTCTGAAATCAGCTTCCACTTAGAAGCTGAGCAGCATAACATGGTTAAAAGAATGAACTCTGAAGAGGGCTGGCTTAAATCCTGGCTGAACCACTGCCTTCCATAGATGATATTGGACAAGTTACTCTCTTTGCCACAGTTTTCCCATCTGCAAATCGGGCACAGTAGTCATAGCTATCACACAAGGATGTTGTGAGGATTAGTCAAGTTAACATGTGCAAAGGTGTTGCCGTTATGGTTTGAAGCATCATCTGTTTTGATGCCTCCAGTAACCAGATGCAGGTAATGGACCCACAGAGAAAAAGCTCAGATCCCTGATTTCATGCTCTCAGATAAGGCCCAGTCCTTCGCCTTCTGTTGTAGCCTTGGGTGACACAACCATGTTTTCCTGGAGGCCCTAAAAGGCCAGGGCCTGGGGACCAGAAGTGGGAGAGGGGATTCTACCCCAAGTCATGCTCACCCGTGAGTCCCAGCAGTAAAATAGGCAGAAGACAAGGAGGAGGGTGGGTCCAGGAGGCAGGGAAAGGCATCCTGAGAAGCCTGCAATGTCCAAATGTGTGTTGGGATGATCCCAACTCTGCCGTGTGAGAGGAGCGGAGCTCTGCCTCTCGTGATATAAGAGAAGTGCCTAAGATGGGGTGAAAGAGCTGTAACACAGTAGCCTGCTTCTAGACTCCAGACAGTTCCTATTTCTACATTGTAAAATAGAATCAGGCGGTGTAGGTGATTACAAAGTTGAGTTGTTTATCTTACAATTTCAGAGAGACTTGAATAGGCCTATAGGAAGTAGTGCTCCCTCTTGGCCTGTGGCCTCTTCTCTCCAGGGCCTCTCGCCCTATCTAAGGTCTTCATGGTGATGCTCCATTTGGGAACCTAGGCCGAGAAGGCTCTGCTGTTGTGGGCTATGTCCCAAACTCCCACACCCAGGAACCTAGGATGTGGCCAGTTTAGGCCTCATCTGCACCAAAGTCACCAAGAGCTATTCAGATGGAGG